TGATTCGAGAAACACCATTCTTCGTCAAAGCTGTAGGGGCCCCGGTAAGCTTATGTGCCCAGGGCCTCCAATAGGTTAAAGACGGCCCTGCTTGGCATCCGTTCAGATTTCAACTTTCTTATCGGCAGGCCCAAGCGTCGTTTTTGTTTTTGTATGCCTTCACAACATACTTATGTATATCGGATAAATACAAGGAACTAAATTGCTTGGCAAAAATTAGCCACTCCCATAACTTTGTCAAAACTCGTTAAATTGTAGTTATCAGAGTTTTTTTCTTTGTATACACCTCATGATTCGAGAAACACCATAGGATTATTCACTAATGTTAGTTACGACTTAAACTCACCCCACTTCACCATATCTGCAATCACACACACTTTTTGGTCATCAATATTTTTCCTGGAACTTGAAAACTCTTGTACCTTGCAGTTTTTTTGGAGCTTTATGATTTTAGTGCCCAGTGAGTTGCATCTTCGAAAATCTACGATTCTGTTCTGAGTTAGTTCTTCTAAAACTCCATAATTCTGGTTCTCAATGGTTTTCCTGAAACTTGAAAGCTTCTGTTCCCTGTAGTTTTTTCTGGAATTCGACGATTTTAGTGTCCAGGGGTATCTTCGAATGTTAACAATTTTGTTTTCATCTGATTCTTCTGGAACTGGACGATTCTGACTATCGATAGTTTTCCTGAAACTTGAAGACTATTGTTTCCTGTAGTTTTCCTTATCTTCAGGATTTCAGTGTCCAGTAATGTCTTTGAAAGTAGACCATTTTGATTTCAGTTGGATCTTGTGTAACTCGATTTTTTCTCAACAGTTTTCCTGTAATTTGAACACTCTTATTCCCTGTAGTTTTCTAGAACTTGACGATTGTAATGGTTTTCTTGGAACTAGCCGATTCTATTTCGTAATAGTTTCCCTAGAACTTGGAAATTCTTGTTCCATCTGGGTTCTAATATTTTCCTTGAAACTAGAAAATGGTTTCCGGCTCTAATTCAGATCCTGGGGTACACCCATGTGAACAATAAAATATTGATAGTTATTTATTAAGTAGTTAGTTTTTATTGTTGGATTAATTTTTAGCTTTCTTTTTCAGTCGCGCAATTCTAGAATTACATAGAAATTAGTGTAAATAAATAGTTTTCTTCTTAAAAGTTAATTTGTTAAACCCACGAACATTAAACTTCAATGTCGTTACAAACGATACCAACAAATACTAATGTAAAATATTATCGGGTACCTGACAGTTGGAAAATTGGGGTCCGGATCCTTTTGTTCTTCGACGGGAATCAAATTTAGACCAACGGAATGAAATAATTGTTCAACATACTTGCAACCTACTCCATGCAAGGCTGTATAAGTAAATTTGACATTTGCTGTATTTATAATAGCTTTTTGTTGTTGGTCAATGTTGCTTGTGATATCTTTTACGTAAGACTGGAATGTTTCTTTCAATGGGTCTATTAATAAGGAAGTGTTTTGATTCAAAATGGAAGTGTCCCATGACTCCGACCAGGGCTGTAGGTTTTCTAAAATCTTTGCTTGGATTTGTTTATCGATAGGAGATATTATTTGGGCCCCATTAGTCGAATAGACCTATTGCGAGGACAAATTTTGTTAGAACAATGTTTTGAACGTTTAATAAATTACCTACTTTATAACCATTATCGTCTTTGGGGTTGTGGGAAGCGGTGACAATCACTCCCGCTACGCATTTCCATTTTCTTACCCCGTAGGCTACCAAAGGGGTTGGAGCAACGTCGCCGAACAAGTATACTTTGTAATTTTTGTGAAGAAATATCGATGCTGACAATTCCGCGAATCTACAACAACAATTTTATAAATATTTTATTTAATTATTAGATACTAAAACCCTTAGTATTTACAAATACTGCCTGCCTTATATGCTTATAAAAAACAGTTATTTTTATAGATCGTTTTTTTCACTTGTGTCTTTGACAAAATGTTATGTGTTTTCAGAATAATTTAACAACAACTCGCAACTATGCTTGTTTATAGTCTATACCAACAAACGCCTATAAAATATCGTCTGATTTACAGATGTTTTGTTGTTTGTAGTATTTTTATAGTAAATTGAGTAACAACACATCTTTATTACAAACATACTTTAAAAGCCGACATAGAGTTCACAAATCACTTCTGTTTGTGTTTTGTGTCTTGTAAAAAAACAAACATACATCGATCTAACTAATATACATTTTGATAAATAATAATGCATTCACCAATACGGTTTTTGAATTGATTAATTGAAATTGTTAATTACCTAGTTATTTAATGACTTTTGTTATTAAAAAATATAAAATTGAAATTATTGTAAGAGGATTATTCTAATATGTGTACGTAGGAATTTATTAAACATTTAAATTTACAGCTTATCAAACTAATTATAAAAGCAAGT